TGTCAGTGGTTTTTTACTATCGTTTCCTCTCCCCCCCGGTTAAGTACGACAGGTAATTCCTTCTCCAGACTTTGAATGAGACCATTCCTTGGAGGAGAGGAGTGGAATGGCTTTTCTTCTGAGAGAGAAAATGCATACAGCAGATATTTATAAAACTGTACATGAATGCATGATTTAATGTAGTTAAATATTACTATGGTGAGTGCCAAGACTTCTCCAAGGAGCGTTGTTATGTGATTCAGGGTGCAGGCGGACGCGTGTTCCCTTCTGCGCAGAGCGCCGGGGTTTGAGCGGCGTTCGGTGAGTCCCTTACCTCGGGACAGCGGCGCCGGCGCCTGGAGGCGGAGGTGCGGTGGTGTAACCTCCATCGTGCCCTAGCGCGGCTTGGGGGCACGGGGCTGTTTCTTTCAGAGAAACCTGCGTAGATGGGCATTGCTGGAAATGTTGCCTTTCGCGCTCGGTAGCTACGGAGCTTCGTTGTGTTTTGTACTTGGCCGCAGGGAACCTTAGCACGGTTTTTCCAGCTGCTACTGCTCTGCAGACCTCCCTGGCTTCCTTCGGCTCCATAGGAGCTACCGGACGTAGGAATTTGCTACAGAGAGAATGAATAACTATCTAAAAGTGGTTTTATGCCTATGCTTTTTCTAGAACGGTAAAGAGCTCATGAAGGTGGTTGCTGTAGGTGATATCCCTGAAGCACGAGCACGGTGGGATGCGCGTGCATCGAGCTTTAGTTAGAAGCGTGCTGTTCCCTTTGGGGTGACCGCAGGTCGCCACGTGGACTTGGCACGTGGAAGAAACCGCTGGAAAAGCCCTTCCTTTAATGAGAAGAGCGCTCTTTCTGGAAATCAGCCTTTGTCATTACCGAAAGGTTTACTTTTTGGCGTAGAGCCTTAATACGTAACCCTGAGGTGTACGTAGCCGTGCCCCCAGGTTGTCCCACGTGCAGAGTCCCCTGTGCCCCGCTCTGAACGGCCCCAAACACCGACGCCGGGCGGGTTTTGCTGCTGCACGATGCGCATTGACTCCCTCAGCCCGCCGGCTCCTTCCCCGTGTTCCCCAAGGGGAACGGTCGGTGCTTGAGAGCTCCCGCGCATGGGAAGGATCACGGAGACAGCCAGGCCGGGTTGGCGTGTAAGGGAGGGGTATTTCAGCAGAGATGGTGGAAGTAATTGCTATCGAACAGCTCGATAACTGACGGAATAGGTGTCAGCTTCCTCCGTAAAAGTTGTCAAGCGCAGGGACTGTTGTGTGCGTGTGAGGAGCGTGGCTCTCGGCAGCCCCAGCGCGTGAAGCGAGGCTCTGTTGTCCTGACTCTGCAGCGTTTACAAGGAGATAAGGAATTGTTTGACTATTGCGCTTTCCCTCTGATGGTTTGGTTGGGGTTTTTTTGGGTTGTTTTTTTTTTTTTTTTGCCTAATCATAATACTTGTGGTGTCTGAGCTGCTGTAGGGATAGTTTCAAATAGTGAAATGCAGTTGCATTCAAGTGAAAATGGAAGCAATTTCATGCTTTAAAAATGAAAATGCGCATCGGTAATGTTTGTGTGTGGGAGATGCTTGCATGTACAGTGGTCTGACCTCCAGACCACAAAGCCTGGTGTGTTTTTTCTTGTGTGGATTTACTTTACAAACCTGATGTTGTGTCAGCTCCACCTTCAGTGGGGGAGTATTGAGAGAGTCCTTTCCACTGAACCTGGACTTGAAATCAGCTGTAAAGACCATTAAGATGCTTCTGGCTGCCCACTGCAACAGGCTCTTCGTTGTTTCTGCTACACGTGCTACATGGGAAGGTACACGGTTTCGCTTGTGAATTTGGAGGTGTTGCTGTACAGCTGGATCCTTAGTGCTAAAGGCTTCTGACTGTTCTGTAAATACATTAATGCAAATTGGAAAGAAAAAAAAAGGAGAAAGGAAAACAAAATGTTTAGGGACAACAGTATTATTATCCGTGGAATATCGCGAGTCCCTCGGCTTTCTGTATCTGACAGGGATACAGAGCAAAAGCTGCTGTGCCGTTTCGTTTCCGTTATGGAAACCGGCCCAGGTCTTGTGCTCGGTCCCCGAGCCGGCTGCGCTTGGCCGAATCGCTCCTCAACCAATTGAATGACCAAAGTGTTTGGACCACGCAGTGGTTTGCTCTTCTTTCCAAATTACTTCCTCAGTTTCAGTAATAGCTAAAGCTATTCCCTTATCTTCAAGTGGATGGTTTTCATCCCGTTTAAATTTGTGCCTTGTACCCTCCCCTGTCTTAGGGAGAAAGGACGCTCGTGTGTCGTGCCTGCCCGAGTTTCCCTGAGCAGGGCCGAGGTCCCTGGGGCTGATGCAGCGGTGCTGGCGGTGACGGAGGCTGCCGGGGGCAGAGGGGTCCCCCGTTCTCCTGGAGCCGCTCACGTGCAGCAGTGCCGCGTTCTGGGGCTGTCCCTGTTGTCCTGGGACAGGACCTGGACCCGCACTCCGCTTTGCGAGACGATGCGCAATGCTTTGGCCCTCCTTGACGTACCCCCTCTCCCCTCCCCTGCAGCGGCGGGGATGGGTTATCCCTTCTTTGAGTAGCACGAGGCAGTTTTCACTCCGGCGTAGGTCCGAGCCCTGAAGGAAAGCTCTGGCATGAAACATTGCCAGGGTGAGGTGTGGTCTGCAACACGGTGTTACCCAGCCAGAGTTTTGGCGTGATCGGGGTGGCCAAAATCTGTTGGGAGAGCTGAGCCGCGGCCCCTGGCTGGGGCTGCGCTTCTGGCAGAGCCAATTGACCTCGATTACCCTCATCTTCCTCCTAGCTTTTGCTTCATAGCTCACGCTTCAAAAGAGGAAAATCACGTGAAGCAATGTTGGAGGGGCTGAGTGCAGAACAGCAAACCGAGCACCTTCATTGCATGCGTATCTGCTTTGTTGTAACGACAGTAAGGAGTAGTCAGGACAAAAACCAGGCACCGACGTGAAGCCAACTTGGAGAGGACGCTAAACCCCGTGCTGCAGTATTTATCTGAATTGAAATTCTGAATGTTTACCTCAGTGTAAATATCTTTAACCTTTCCAGTGGGAGGAAAGGAGTATTGCATGGAGCAATCACTGTCCCCATCGCTTTGCCAAACACCTCATCCTCTCTAAGCCAGGCTTCACGTCGGTACGAACACTGTCCCGCTTTGGACCCTTACCTTCCTAGGATGTGAATGGTAAAAATGTGAATATTTGTTGTTTACTTCATTAGGCATAATTCATAATGATGTGTTTATATGAAGAATATCACAGACTGAAGCAAAACCATATGCAATTGGTTTACTTTATTATAAACTGTATATGATGTACAAACTAATAAAAACTTAAATGATGACAGTCTCACTGTTGTTCTTGAACAGGCAAATAAACAAGGTATTCCAGCTGTGCATTTCAGTGCTGGATGTGATCTGGAGCACTGGAGGGAGGGGGGTCAGCGTGCTCCTGCGCTCCCTCGGGAGCTGCCCTGGGCAGGCACCGGGCCACGTGTTTTTCGAGTTCTGATGGACCAAACCCCTGCGGGATTTCTGTCGGAAAGGCCTGAGCCGAGTGTCTGCCGGTGCAGAAGCGAGCAAGGGTTCCTCTGTTGAAGGGAAGGGAGGGTTACAGGTGCTGTGGGGGTGTGTACATAATGGTTTTACATTATAATGAGAATTTATTGTTGTCCATCTCTTTGAATCAGCACAGCA